TATATATCCATAAACATTTGACCATTCATAATATTCTTCAAATTTCGCTACTTTTGCGACATATAATACTAATTTTTAAGGTAAATAATTCTGCCTCGAAATATTTAGGAAAATAATGAGTTGTCAACTATTGATTTATGAAGTTAGTTATATGAAATTTTTTCTCCTGTTAAGAATATGTACAACTTTTTAATGTCTGTTCAGTATATTCCAGAAATTAAATATACTGATAGGGATTTTCTAGAAGTCAGAATTAGCAAACAGATGATAGATAATCTTCCACAGAAATATTCGCATCATTGATAGCATCTGAGGAAGCAAATTATCTCCGTCTCGAGACTTCGAAAATGCATTTTTTGATCCAACAATTTTTCCCACGCAAATACATTTTTTCCCATTGTAAGCTTTTAAAGAATAAATGTTACCATATGAGATGAGCTAGGATTGTGGGATTCTTTAGTTTGTTTGACCTTTTTCTGTAACAACATCTTTGCCAGATAAATCGAAATTTTACTTTAATAATTTTTATCGTAAGTTAAAGTCGCATAATTTCTGAGAACTTGACGCACTTACTGCTTTTTCCATCATAAGTCCAGCATAGATTAAGGCGATGTGACTGAAATGAAAGAGTAGAGAAGAGAGAAGTGGATACTAATAAAGTTTGTAACTTTCCGATCAAAAAGAGTAATGGTCAGTAGATAAATGTTGCAATATCAATACTAAAGCTATGGTTGAACAAAGTTTGGAAAATACAGGGTGGTTTGCTGCCTTAGTGTTATTAGTGTATTAGAATTTATGAAAGACTGTCCACATCGGCATATGAAATGTTTTGAAAACTTGCTAAGTGCCTTATAACTTTTTAATTCACGCTTCATAATCGACTTTACGGACGTATTTAGTGCAATCTACTTACTTACCCGCATTCAGAATGCTGAGTGGATCTCAGTGGTAGTTTTCTAAGTTTTATAAATGAGTTACAAGCAAAAACTTTTCTATACGTAAAAATAGGCTTGTTTCTATATAAAGGTTGTCATAAAAATTGTAGTTAGTATCCCTTCTGCGCCAGTTGCGTAATTACGTTTTTGCCAAATTGCTCAACATGGAAAAATTGAAGCGAATATTCTTTTATTTACGAAACAGACGGATTTAAACTTCTCTTATAAATGTTAATTTTATGATAGTTATTAATCAAAAAGTAGGAAACCTCAGAGATTCACAGATTATTGAGTAATACTTTGTTTCTTTTTATAACAAGTTTGAAAAATTATATCCAATGCAAATTTTTATTCTAAAAGACAATAGATCAGTTGACAGCGTTTAACAGAGCTTGATGCATTCTGTTTCAATATGACACTTCTCAAGTTGGTGATTGTTTAAAAGTACTCCTATTCTTAATATCTTTATTTTTAAAGTTGAAAACAGTTTTTAATTTTATAGAATTTCACTTAAAGCCGAACATTAGAAAGTCCTTAAGAAATGTATACTTGAAAAAAGCAAAACGCGAGAACAGCAATTAATTATAAATAGAAAATGATAAAAGTTAATAGAAATCCATCATTTATTACTTAAAGAAATTAGAATGACAAAGGTGATTAGTATCCAAAGTGGGTAGTAGTGAAATATTTCAGATCAAATTTGAATTCCAATCGTAAGGCGAATGGCAGATGAAAGGATTTCCTTGTTGAGATTCTTCACGCAGTTTCTTGACTGTAATAACAACACACCAGACACTGAAATTTTGTATGACTTGTTTATTTTTTCAACTTTCTTAATTCCAATTCTTCCAAAATGACAACTTGTATTTTGAGGCAATTTGAATGTTATCGAAATGATTCGTAATAGAATGTAGCAGAGGGAAAATAAATAAATAAATGAAAGGTAGTTGAAAAGGTAATGATACTTTAAAAAAAGGAGATGCGTGTTAGAGACATTTGGCAAATACTCATTTTTCCGAAAAAGTCACTTTGTCAAAGAATTCGAAATTGCTTACAGATCCTTGTCCTACTATTTGATTGCTTTTGCAAATAGATTGGCCTGGGCATTGACCATTAGGACCACAAAAACCAATTTGCACGCCACCATGACAAGTGCACCGCGCATTTGTATTATACGGAGGGACAACCGGTATAGGTGATATTAGATATCCAGTTGAAGCATGTGGTAGCTGAGTTATTGATGGATAAGTTGCAATAATACTTGGTCTCTGCGTTACTACTGGAATTTTTTCTGACTGCGTGCCTTAATAAGTCCACACTTTTTTTGATTTTATTAATTTGATACAACATAACATCCGCTTATATTTTCATACCTGTTAGTCTGTTTTCGCCTTCATCATTTGACCCCTTTTTCAAGATCTTTTACTTTATGACGTGACATGATCAAAAGACTAAAACATTGAAAAGTATGTTAACAGAAGTACTTTTTACGATTCCGAGTATCCTGTAACGATGAGTGGATTGTACAAATACAAAACAAGCAAAAAACAAACAAAAACTTACTAGGATTCCATGCGCAAACCTGTAGCAACGCATTAAAAATGAGGTCTGGTGTACAAGGCATGCGTTGCCATCTTCCGCAATACAAACTATTCGATGCTGGCTGGCACTGCAGAAAATGTGATGGACTTTCTGGATCAGCAGCAAGTGGTTCGATCATCCATGAACAAATTCTTTGATATCTAGCACCCTCGACATTTTGTCCAACTGCTGAAAATAATAGTTATTCGAAATTACCTGAAAAGAATCTTTGATCACTTCGACAATTCGAAACTATCACTTGCACCATTTGTGTTTATTTTATGTTCCGAATTTTAGTCTTCTATTCCGAAATATATTTATGTCCCGAGTTATCAAAAAGTAATTTTTCAGAATCTATCTTATCAGTTGATCATAAGATAGGTTCTGAAAAATAGTTCTTGAATTCTGACTTAAAAGACGAGAACTCTGGTGTTTGATGAACTTTTGAAGGACTAGGTAAATTCATTTTTCATTCAGGTCTATATGAGAAAATGCAAGTTCAGAAAATGATGAAGAATGAAATATATGGCTTGAGTCTCTTTTTTGGGAGTAATCGTATTAATCAAATGAATGGATTCATAATTGTGACAGCATTTAGCTTGACTGGTTCAAACCTATGGGACATGCTTGCGGCACAATAATAGCCGGATGTTGTTGCTTTCCTCTCTCTTCCTGAATTTGAGAGCAATGAAGTTGTCCATTACTTAACAGGTAGCAGCCTTCCGGGATATGCCTGCTCTGAAAGTAATACGTCATAAATTTCTACAGATTAAAAGTCATTTCTGTTCAAATTATTTAAAAAATGATTAAATTCTCTCTCTCTCTCTCTCTCTCTTTATGATTAACAATAACATATAACATTAAAAGTCATTTCTGTCCTGAATTTAGGACATAAATTGAGCCAAAGCAAATTAATTTGATTGAAATACTTACTGGAAGTTTAGTGACACTGGGTAAATAAGTTGGATCAAACGGACCGCAGATACATATGCCATCTGCATTTGAACAGTCACCGCAATTATCACCCTAAATTGCATTTCGTGCATTTTGTTATTTCATATTAAAAATTGTAATTCCACACCTCTTCTAAGGAAATTTTCCAGGAATATTGCCTAATCATTTTTGACAAACACCGAATCTTAACTACAACGAAATAGAAACAAATACGGCCTACAGAGATCATGCATCTTTGTTGACCCTGACAGACCACCTGACGAGCTTGGCGAGCCTGAAATTTAACGATATTAAATTATATAGCTTACATTTGTTCAACTTTAAAATCAAAGTAGAGTTAATTATTTTCTGAGACCTTCTTATTTATTTCAAAAAATTCTTTAAAAAAGATGCCATCTCTGCTCTTACTTTTTTATTTGGAATATAACATGTAAGCAGTTCATTCTCCTACCTTTGATGTATTTTTTTCATTCACAACTTCATTATATGTGACAAGTTCAATGATTGTAACTTTTGGGCATTCACAATTCTTATCGTCTACAGAACACGAGCAGTGCTTTTTCTGTTGTTCAACGCTTTTAACCATGAACTGCAATCAAATATTATTTCATGATTTTAAGAGTTGTGACAAGATTTGGGACTTAATTTAGAGACTAACTTTTGGGCTATTTCTCAGTTGAGGGCAGAATTTGTATTTTTTAGCATTAGGTCCATCGCACAATTGTTGGCGAGCTTTGATGAAGTCATTAATTTTACATTTTCGAGCTGGCGCTACAAATTGATATCCAATCGGGCAGTCCTTTGATACCCAAATACCAAGATCACTACTAAAACGAGCCGATTTTACAAATCAATTTTTTTAATAGTTGAGTTCTTTAAAACTTAAAAAGTATTTTTTTAAGAGATTATCTAACCGATTTCCAGCATTTTCAGCTTGAAATACACATTCGACGTATTTGCTTGAATCAGTTGTTGGTCGTGGAAGGGATGATAACTGACAAATATCACCGATAACGCTACGCCAAATCACGGAGGAGTTAATATCATCGTCTCCGCTATTGTCTAAACTATTTTCTACTAACTTCGTGTCACACTGTCCTGAAACAAACAACTTCTAATTAGGGGCACAAAAATACATATTCAGTCACATACATGGATTATTTCCATGATATTGATAATGTTGCTTTATCAAGCACTCTTTTCGATAGCAGAGTATCTCAATAACTTATAATCTTTTTTGATATTTGATCTGCTTCATGTGTTATCATGCTAATAAATAATCTTGATTCAGTTGTGTACCTGTAATTCTTGAAGAACTTACTGAATACTGAATTATAAGAGATATTCAGGAAATGTGTACTTGGAGAGTAATGAGGAAAGACATACCAAAATAGATGAAAAATGAGTTGAGAAGAAGAGTGATAAGCTGCATGTTGTAAGTGAAATAACTATAAGTAGAGTAGAAACAAAATGGAAATGTTATTACACTGGATGAATTAGAGACTGTGGTCCAGGTCTCCTACCTATTCCCTATTTGTAGGGACGAGGGAAAGCCACACAAAACTGGACTTGTTTTTTTTTGGATATAAACTTGTGTACATTCAATAGCTTCTCATTACGTTCTTGTCATCATCCTCCCTTTTCATATTTTCTTGTCATTATGTTTTTTTTCTTCATTTTACTAGATAGACTACCGTATCGAAGGAATTATTCAATCCTATCTCATTTGCTTAATGACTCCATCTATATCAATCTTTTATAACATTTATGCTTCTAATATGCATCTTACGTACCTTTATATATGTCTATATCAATCATTCCAACAAAATCGAAAAAAAAAAATTGAAGTACTAATGTCTTTTTGGTCGATTTGTACTGCACTACAAAATCGTATGATTCATTATGAAAACAACTTTCATATACACTGACATATTTTCTTACACTCATCAACAAAACTATCAACTTGTAAGTGGTATTCATATCACAATTTTTTTCTTTTCAATTTTAGCCTATTCACTTCAAGTCAATATTATGCAAGTGCGCGCATGCACATATTGTCGGTAAATGTTGAATTTTTCAGTCTTTAATACTGTGATCAATGATTGAATGGCATGATCTTTTATGATTTTTAATGGATTTTCTTGTACATAATTTCAAATCTTTATGTCACAGTTTCCTCGTTGATTTTGTAGTCTAATTTCGAACTTCGTGTTTTTTTTTTTGAAAACTTTCATACACGGCTAATGAGATAAGTTCCTAAATTTGAAAATTTTTTAAGGCAACACATGCATGTCTGAAGTTTGATTCCTAACCACCGGACTTCTCATTTTTCAAGTCTAGTCTTTCTCAATAAATCCACAAAGGAATAATTAGATCATATATAACGTTATCTAGAAACTTTAAAATGTAGTCATCATATAAACCAGTGTTTTGATTGAAAATGAGAAAGGAAGAAGTCAAATTTCATGATCTGAATTAGCAGTATCCAAAATCTATTTATTAATTAGATCATATTTTGAAGGATAAAATAAACAGAGACAGCGTAAGTGATGATTCTGAACCACTAAGAGGATATAATTAAGAATAAAATAATCATATCACAACATATCAAAAGATCAAAATGATGATACTAATAAGCTAGGCTTATTAGTATCATCGTTTTGTTTTTGTAGCTTTAAAACATACGTCTTGAATTTCTGGCTGCTTCATGACACATGCCATAGTATTCTGTAAAGACGAGCTTTAAACCTTGGAACAAATTTATGTTGTTGAACCAAAATACGATCTTTGAAAAACACGCTTTAGAAATTTCTAGCACATAATTATGACTTTATCTTTATTGATAACAGTAATCCCTTAGATTTTTGAATGGTGCTTATTATGAAAAAGCAAATCAATTTAAACAAAAATTCAAAAAGTGGGTAATCTTGAAATATAGTAAGTGTAGTGAAATGCGCTTGTTAAAAAAACTAATAGTAGGTCAGCTATTACTTTTGGAATGCTTCGATATATTCTCCATTTTTGCTGTAAATAATTGTTTGATTGGCCCCGAGTTAGAACTTTAAAGCGTCGTGTTTGGCATATAACCAAGCATTGTAAATGTCACACTGATAATTAAGCTTTGTTGAAATATGTAGGGATTTCTATTTTTTACGATTATCACTCATCACAATTGCAAAATTTAAAAAAAATTTGATGATATAAAACCTGTTATTCCATCTACTTTTTTTATCTGCAGTTACCACTGTTAATTTACTCAACCAAAATCTTCCGAAAACATTCACATTTTCTCTGAACTGTCAATCTGTCGAATATGCGCCGTTCAAATATTAATCTACTCATCTTTAACAATTTAATTACTCAAATACAAAACCTTCTAGTTTTTTCTAACTGCATGCAATCAGTCAATCGTTTAATACTTAACCGCTTTCAGTTTAAATTATTGATCTACTCCAAAACAGGATAATGATGTGGGCCAATTGGTTTTTGAAATTTTAAATATACAAATCATATCATTACTTTGCAAAGAACTCTTATTTATTTCTACACAACTAGTTTTTGGAAAATCAACAATAAAGCAGCTAAATATGAAGACTAGATCCTTTTACTTTTACAAAGTCTACAAGTCAGTTCCAATTAATATTGATTGTGCGGCACCTCACCACTGCTGTTTGGATGTTTCTATAAATTAAGGTCCACAAAAAATGGAGCAGTGCATCAGTTAAACTTCAGCACTTATTCGTTTTCCAGAGGTCAATGCCTTTAACAAGCAATTTTCAGGTGGACAGTAGGAAATCATAGCCGCAATAAACTATCAGATATTTACAAGATGTCTTAATTATAAAATCTGGTACCAAAAAAGATAACTTACTGAATCGTATATTTTTCCATCAACGGTTTCTTTCTTCTGTAATATGTTTCTATTTTCCTCTCCCTTTCTCTCATCACCTCTCCTACTTGCCATTAATTTTTCTTCAAAATAAACATTCGCTCAAAATCAAAAACTTTTTCTGAATCTTTATGAAGAAGTTTTGAAATCTTTCTTTAGACGATACTATTAACAAAGAACTTTACTGAATTATCGCCGTCGAATAAATATTTTGTGTCAATAGAGCAGAACTCACAACTCATATCAATAAAATCATTCTATCAATAGATGTGATCAATTGTAAACATCATTTCTTAAAAAATCGAGGTGGTAGAATTCACAAATTCATTTTTCTTTTAAACTAGTTATTACAAAAACTCAACAAATCATTTCTTTTTTTGTTGTCCAGCATAGGTAAGGATGCCAGTACCTCGGCCAATAAGATATTCTAGTTTTATATTCAGCGTCAAATAATCCAACAAAAAATCGGCGTTGCTTTTACTTCGATATGCCTTATAAGGCTCTAGAACTTTTTTAATTGCCGTTGTTGCTTCCATCAAATGGTAATGAGGAATTTTTGTGAAGAAGAAATGATGGGCCACGTGCCCTGAAAGTGATAAATTACTGATAATGACATAAAATATAAAAAAAATTATTGATTTTACAATTAAAACAGAACTTTTCGCCAGCTTCCTCCAACATCTTTAAAAAGTTAAAACACCCATTTCTTTTTTAAGGAAAGAATTCTTCTGAAAACATATATTTTTAGTTTTTTTACTACTTTTAAATCTGAAGATCAACACTGAAAATTGATACCATCAGTAATATGATGCAGTAGTGTATCAATACCAAAACCGTACACTCGATCGATGGTTTGTACTTGCCCCATCACATAACTCCAGTAGCCTTCTTCGTAAACCTAAACAAATATGAAACAATAGAACCTTGGTAAACTTTAAAGGACTCACCACAGCAGTATAAAAACGATTTAACCGCGCAATACTGGACAACTCGCTTCTAACCTACCTCGCATTATCACATGCGCTCATCAGTCACCTTTATACTTTCCCGAGCTTTTACTATATTTATTTTTCCGTCCTTGAATAGAATCCATTTAAACTAAGGCTTCGACTTTTTCGTAGTGGCTTCTTTGTTGAGTATGTTAACACTTTCGTGAATATAGGAAAGGAAAAAAACTTAAAACATCAGAAATCAGAATACTATATTGAATCTAAGGTTGCCAAACTTTTACTCATCAAACGACAGGAAATATCATTTGGTATATATAAAATATATTCATTTCACGGATTCAAAAAAGAGACACATCACGAAAACAGATACATATCTACCTCAAGAAAACTTTTAATTTCAAGTGGCAAAATAAAAGGATTAAAAAAGTCTGAAACACACCTCTATACTATAGTCATTGTGTTGCAAATACGTTATGATAACGAGCCAGTAACCTTGAAACAACAGCGGAATGTAATAATATTTGATGAATGTGAACCAGCTATCATTACATATAATAAAAGCTACCTGGAATACTTATTAAGTTGTTGACAGAGATATTTATTTTTTGATGTATTAGATTCAAAAAAGTGCAAAGTACATAGATTCTGCGAAAGAACCACTTCTGGAGTGCATTTTCAATGTATTTTTCACATATTCTTTAAGATTAATAAACTAACCACAGCACAAAATAAACACGCTAAACCACTAATAACACATTCTACTCGTTCACGATTGGTGTTAAAAAGTTTACTATAAGGCCAAAAGTGGCTACCGTCTGGTAGACCGACCATCGTATAAATCGGACTCCATCTAAAAATGTTCTTTTTCTTTAAAAAAATGACATTATATTAAACGAACATCCTTCGTTAGAGCAAAAAAAAGCTTCGTCACTCATATCCATTCATCAGTTGATGAAAAGCAGATTACTTCAAATATCTAAGAAGGTACTTTTATGCACCAGCTAAATTTAGAAATACAACATTTAACCAACCGAACAAAACCGGAAAGTGGGATCTTTGAAAAATTGCGCACTATCCAACCACGTGTCATGAAATCTTTCTCGACCACCCAGGGATGTCCCTAAATTTGAAATAAATTTGAAACAATCGATCTTTAGCATCAATCAAAAAGTTAGAAATAAAGTTCTTCATTAGTGATCGCAGTACTACCATATTTGAACACATTAAAGTATTTAACATAAGTATTAACAGACGAATTTAATATTAACAGAAGAAAGCGAACAAACCATGTCATTGTCAATATGAGAAGTGTACTGATGATGTCGCCTGTGTGACTTCTGCCAGGGCCAATACGGTGCCAAAAGTGGAGCGTGAGCGATATGTCCAAAAAGATCGTTGACCCAAGTATATTTAGAAAAGGTACCATGACCACAATCATGACCAACCACAAACAGTGACGACCCGAACATTCCCATGCAGCAATACCTAAAATTTATCCTTTATCGTGCGCATTTCAATACACATTTATTTTTAAATTCAATAAAGTGCTCAACATCAATAGGTTCATTTTTTTTTCTTGTAACAAATCTTACATTGTTATTTTGCAGTCCAAAGTAAATACGAACATATCTTACCATACAAATAGCCCAAAAATTCCAAATGATTCGAACACACCAACAAATCTGTACAAACCGTACAATATTATGAAATCCAATACAAGATAAAACAACGATTTGAACAGCGACCTTTCGAAACATGATGACGGTACGGCACGTCTTATTTCTTCAAACGACGGCAAATTCGGTTTTGGCCGCTTAAAAATTGAAGGCAACAGTAATAAGCCAGTAAATTACTTGAAAAATGAACTGATGAAAGCTTTCAATGTCATCTTATGACGACTATACTTCAAGAAACTGTTACAAGTTCCTGCTAATCTCTTCTAGTAGGAACTCACTTCTATTATATACATCAACTTTCCGAGTAGGCAGGTCTCTTTCAGATTTCAGATACAATAAACAACATCCATTAGTTGCTAACAAAGCAAACAATATAATTCATTCATGTCCCCTTCCGAAGTCTAATCATTGAGCAAAAAGAATACAAGCTTCAAAATTCAATAGCAATAGATTTTTTTACAGCAGTTCCATGGTAGATTTTTTTGTGCGAAACTTGAGTATGAACGATGTATGTTATGACAAAAGTTTTATTTATCAGTGACAAAATGATGGTAAAAAAATCCAAAACTCGACGATTCTCGAGATTACAGCAGTAATTTATGCTAGTTACTGACAAAACAATCTTCTCAGGAAAACAATCTCAAATTATTTTGTGCGCTTCAAAAATTGCACTACTAAAAATGCATTTCAGGAGGTCATCTCTCCCGAACAAAAACTATAAGGATGAGGCGATTCAAATTAATAATGAGGTAGCATTTTTTATTACAATTTCCTAAAACGATAGGAGCAAAGTTCACTGGCTGAAACTTTATCGTTTCTAACAGTCTAGCAAAAGTAAATAACCGATACTTCGAAGTTATCAGCATAACATACAGGGCTATGTAATGCAAATCCTGCTTCATTAGCTAATCAGTAATTTGACTTTCATCAATATTGCCTAATTTCCCCTCTTTATGTCGAGTGCGCAGGAGAATATCGGGAAATTCCACTAATGCAGTACCCTACTTCTACATCCTGCAACGGTTTCAATAAACCGAATTGAAAGAAGTGAGCGAAAACGGAAAAAGTATGAATGTAATTTAATATTCACTTCACTAACTTGGCAGCAAAAAATGTATAAGTCCTATTCTAATCGAATAAAAAAGAGATGTTGACTTGGACGAAAGCAGTAGAGGCGGAGAGGTATCAAATTCCGTTAACAGTCCCTATGAAATATAAAAGTGTTATATCTAATGAAATATCCAAAAGTACGAAAAATCCTACCAAACATCATGATTATTATAAAACAACAGAAGACACTTACTTGGACTGTCATCATCGTCGATGTCGATGTCGTACACACCGCACCACCCGCCATCTCCATCCTTCCTGCAGTCACAAATACCTTTATCAAACCGTTAACAAAAAGAAAGCTGCAAGTGAACTTGCACTGTGCTCTTTAATCTTTACTCCCTATCACATACCTTCTCATCCTCCACCTCCCACATTCACTTCTTTCTCTCTTTTTGCAAACCTCTCGCAGCCTCCTTCGCACACCATTTCAATGTTGACTAAATTTGATACTTTTTTAATCAGTTTCTCTTATTCTCCACTTATTTTATTACAACTCTACTGATATGATGTTTTCCACTTAGTAACCAACCAGGAAACAGACTGAACTCTGAAATTACTATAACCAGCGGTATAAATTGTAAGTAATTTCGGGGGTCAATTTTGGTTACTAAATGAAAAACATCGTATCAGTAGAGTTGTAATAAAATAAGTGGAGAACAGGAGAAACTGATTAAAAATCTATACCAATCTGGTCTAAGCATACATAACGGGGATTTTGTTGAGTTCGTAAAATGTATATTTTGTATCTCTACTCCACTGTGCATTAGAAAAAATGAAGACGTGGTCATTTATAATGGTTACCATTTCCTAATGCAATTTTTTTTCCTTTGACTTGCAAAGAAGTATCGAAGTTTCGAAAAACGCAAACGCAATTCAAGTGTTGCATTCCCACGCTGTCATTTTACGAAATGATTAACTGTCAGGAAAGAAATCGGAGATGGTTAACGCATAAATGAATAAAAATTAATGAAATAGAGATGTCATGAAAAATATCCGAGAATTGATAACTTTCAGTGTAACTTAAATAACATGAAATAACATCTAATTCAGTGTTACTTGTTCCACTTTGCTGGCCAGCTGCAAGTATCCCTGAAGCGATCCTGAAATGGAATTGCGCTTCTCTAAATTTCTTAAAGTGTTCAGAGAAGCATACATATCTTCCATTTTATTTGCCCATGCTCAAAAAGCGCACAACATACAACATACCGAGTTCTGGAAGAACGGCGTGGTATGTATGAGTACTATTCCATGATCTATACAGCCACCTCAAAAAAGCTACTGACCTAGCGAATCTCTGACCGTGGCATCAACAATCTTCATAAAACCAATCTCTCGTGACATCCAATAACTATAGACTAACATCTTTCAGCCACATTACACTCATTTTTTATTAGTTCAATAAATTCATTTGCAACAGCTTTCTGTCTTGAAATATATCGCAAGTTGAATTAACAAAAAAAATTCAGAAGTCTTATTCGAAAAGATAAAATTAAGTTACTAAGATCTCCAGGGTATTAAAAAAAATATGAGCCTTCGGCAGATATATGAGAAAATCCTCTAAAATCCACAACATCATCGTTTATTCTTTTCCAATAACTCCCCTTAATACAGTTTTTAAAATTTGAGAAAGCGTCTACATTGAACATAAAAAAATTGGAGCCAAGCCGATTTCATCAATGATATGCAGAAAACTCGTCAACTGAGATAGTCTGGAAATCTGCAGAGCAGGAAAGATGCCTGAACATACATATAAAGCGATTCAACCAGTAATGTCAACTACTGCCACACGAATAATGACATTTTTATATGTTTAACTTGGCATTTCATCACTCTATGGATATACGTTCTTGAGCATAAAAATTCTTTTTTTTTTTTCGCGTATTCATAGAAATGAGATAAAAAGCAACAGAAAAATGCCGCACAAACCAAAAATCAAAAAATCTAAAACTTATCGAACTCATGAAAGTTAATAAAATGAGGAAAAACTCTCGTAAGCAGTGCTCAACCATGCAACAACTTCCTCCTTTTCAGTTCAAAAACATTAAGTAAGCAAAAAACAAATCAGCAAATGATATCTGTGAATCTATTCCTTATGAAATACCTCATCACGAAGCTTGATTCAATTCTTTAAATGTTTCTGTGCAGACATATCCAAAAAATAACTTAAAAAAGAAAAAAAAATAAAGATTTCACCATTGCTCTAATACGCAATATCCGAAAAGCCGAAGATATTAAAAAAACAGAAAGTCATCCGCAAAAAGCCGAAACATAAACAACAATAGATACATCATACAACTATAAATCAACTACAATCAATTTTCTGATTTACTGAAAAATATGATTACCAGGAATAAATAATCGTTAAAATATTCTCATCCAACTTTGCATCTGTTGAATGAAAACAATAATGGCACCATCAAAAAAAATTCTGAGTGTCTTACTTGTTTAACAATTTTTGACTCAAATGTTTCTGTACAAAAGTACCCAAAAAATAAAAACTTTAGAATTTTTTTTTGCTTTCTGAAAAAAAATTAGTTTTAAAATTTCAACATAAAATTTACAACAGTAAGAGACAAGGCTATTGTGGTATGGGTTGATCTACAAATAGTGAAGCATTAATTTTACTAACTGCAAGTCTCAGATGTCCTGTGCAGGAAGAAAATGTATGAACGGATAAAAGATAATATATATTAAAGTTGTAGAAAAAGATTGAAAATATTGTACTCTACTTTTTATCGAAACATGAACGAATAATTATCAAAAAAAATATCTTCAAAGTTGCGCAATACTTAAAAATCCTATCTGTGGAGTATTTTCGTATACGATGTTCATATTCGATGAATCGTTTCATCTGGAAACTTTTTTCCTTTTTTTTTTCTTCATTTATTATCCATGCTATTCAGAATAGTTTGATCATCCTGACAGCGTTTCTTATTCTTGGTATTGCGTGGGTTGTAATCAACAGCTTCTGGACGAAAAGTCATTGTGAATTTCTTGATCTGATACCCAAACCTTTTAAACGGCAATTATTAATACAATTTTCCTTTGCCTAACTGACGGGCAAAAGGCTGAAGCATAAGAAATTATCCAAAAAATTATTTAAAGAGATACACATTTACAAAATATTAAGATGAACTGTCTAATGATTTCAACTCTGAATTTCAATTCTGATCTCAACTCTGTGATTCAACTCTGAATAATGGTGGTTACTCTGTGAGTACCCTTACTTTTTCCTGGAATAAAGAACTAGTCGATTTCAACAAATGTCATAACTAATTCACCCAAAAAAAAATAACGTACCAATCGTAATCGATGCATAAGCCCAGAAGAAGAGCAAAAATTATATGAAAGTTCTGCTTTAACCCTTTCTCTAATTTTGGATGAATTTTTGGTCGTGAGTGAAAAATAGTATTCGAGAAATGCCAGTAACCTCGACCCACTTTTCTGTCAGTATAATGCATTGGGTCCTTCCGTTTGTTGCCTGCATAAGATTTGTTTCACTTGAAAAATCATTAATAGTGACTTTTATGAGTGAATAAAGATACTTTACAATTTATGAGAAAGGACTAGATGAATCATCAAGCCAAAAATCAATCATAAAGTCAAGGATAAAGTTTAACCGAAAATCGTATACTTTGACGGATGGTAATCATCTTCTGGTTTCTTAATCTCATTCAGCGATGGAAGGCCACTTTCAAGTCTCTTAACAGATAGGTCAACTGACAGTAACCTGAGTAAATTTCTGCGTAACGTCTTTAACATTCCTGTAAAATAGCAGCGTACCTTATCCAGAAAAAAACAAATAACAAGGTGATAAGACTAAACATTATCATCTAATAACGACCACAGCTATTACTGAACTTCAAAAAAATAAATCACGAATCTAACTCATTCTGTTAAAAACCAATCTTCAAAAAAAGAGTGTTGCGAAAATCAAGCCATTTGATGGAATATGATGAGAACAAGAATTTCATACTTCGTGATATGCAACACAGTTAGAAGGATGTCGCTAGACTGCCCAATTTTCCGGGGAGGTTCTAAGTGCGGTGAGGGATGTTGTGGATTTGGAGGTGTTGTGGAGTAGTTGTGGAGCACATGTATATGAAAAACACTAAGAAAACTTGAAATACATACTATAAGGAATCGGTAATAAGTAACTAAATTATTCCAAATCAAGAGTGGGTAAAAAAAGCAGATACGCCAATATATATAAGTTTTAGACTTAGGAAAAAACATATGTCCTCAAAATGGTTGCCGCGTTATATGGAAAATCCATTTCAAAAGAATCCAAAGAAAGGAGCTGAATCCGTAAGTCCCTAAAAATTCTGTGAATACAAGTAAATTTTTCTTGGCTGACCATACTGTTTGACCTCACTATTTAAGAAAGAATAGTCTATAACAAAATATTTCTACTTAATCTTTTTTTGTTAATTTATAGACTTTAACTAACATTAAAAAGTGAGAAACTTGTGAATGTGAACCATTTTGCAAAACAGCGTTGAGATTCATTGGATGCTATATGACCTGAGCGACATATTCATCATACACAGCTGATGGCTTCCTATGGGTGCAGTTAAGTTTAGTTAGCCATTGTTTTAGGTCACGAAGGCGTGGTTGGAAAATGAAGCAGAACAGCTTTTGAAGAAAATAATGAACAGATCTTCGAGTTACGATGATTTGCATGGGGGTGCATACACCGGTGGAGCCGGTATTGCATATGCTGTGTTAAGAGCGTCTTCATCATCATTTAACCACAGTCGAGAAGAATCAATGAAATACGGAAGACGCGTACTTATGCAGCATTTGGAAGCTGTTAGAAAAGTTAAACGTTCATTGCAGAAAACAGTCATTTAACAGTCGCTTTGACACTATCGATTGATTTTGTGAATGCGGTAGGATATTTTAGGTGAACAAAGTGAGAAAGAACAATACCTTTATGGAAAAGTATAACTCCCATGTTTAGTGATAAAGAATGAAGATAGATCGCCGGATGAGTATTAGTGACATAGATTGCTAGTCCTTCTATCTCTTGTCTTTTTAAAAGGTATTTTATCCATCAGACTGATTTAACTCTAGCTTATAACTTCAATCGATTTTAAAGATCAGTGTTTTAGCTATGGGTAAATTTACGAAATTGTTAGATACCGGCTTTTAGAACTTATGGGTCATAGTTTTCAGTGTTTGTTGCGGTTTTTCAGTGGTGACTCATGATGACTTTCTGCAGCTCGTTACTCTGATTACAGAAAGAGTCAAGCCGAGAAACATGTTATTTACTGGGATCGTTAAGTATTTACGTGATCTATATACTATATGAAAAAACAGGAGAAAGAACCAAACAATTAATTGACCGTATTATTGAAATTGGTCATCTTATAGCCAATAATGATGTACTTGGTGATGGAGATGACGAACTGCTTGCGGGACGCGTTGGCTTTCTTGCCGCCGTCATTACTCTTAGGTTTGCTATCTTGTTAGTAGTTTTCTTGCACCTTGATTTCTCTAGTTTAAAACTGTTAATTATTTCAAACTTTACTTAATTTCCAGGGAGAATATGGCGCATGAAGTCATCCCTGATGCATGTGTTGGGAACGTTGTAAATAAAATAATTGCCTCTGGTAGATCTTACGCGATTTCGAAACAGTTTAAAGTGCCGTTAATGTATCAATATCATGGACGTCATTACCTGGGTGCGGCCCATGGTCTTATGGGCATCCTACAGATATTACTTTGGTAAAAGTAATTGTATAATTTTCTCATCTTATGGCCAACATTGATGTGAATGTGTACCATTTGAAAGCGTCTGCTTGTTCGTAGAACTATTCGGTTGTTTGATGCAGCGCAATTTCTAATATTAATGCGTATATCCACTAAGGAAATTGGACATCAACTTCTCTTAGAAGGGTCATGATTACTATTCATTTGAACTTCAGTGCAGCTCTTGGTTAAACCTTTTTTGTCCTGGGATACTTATATTTTACTTGAAGATTTGTGGCAATGATATCTTTTTATTTTGCGTTTTCTTATGAAGAAATGATCACTAAGTAATTTCTAAATTGTCTTTCAACTATTTAAAAGTGCATGCCATCTTTACAGCTTTGTTAAATTTTTGGATGAGGAGGCAAAATCTGATGTCTTGAAAACAGTGGATTGGATTGTATCACTGCAGCTGAAAAATGGTAACATTCCTTCTAAAGTGGAAGAGGAAGGAGTCGATCGAGGTGAGAATGAACTGGTACATTGGTGTCATGGTGCGACTGGTGGTGTTCATTTGATGATTGTTGCCTATTTACGAACCCACAACGAGAAATACCTAAAAGTTAGTTTACGTAGACATTTTGTTTTTGCCGTTATGTATCATATCACTTAAAGCATGGTAAAGTTCGGTAATCTCAATAGCGATCATTTCTTTTGAATATGGTTTATGAAATCACGATAATATATTGGGTACATCTGCATGTGCAAAATATTCGAATTGTTTCCTTGTTTTTCTTCAAACTATAAATTGCTAGATCATATCATTCTTATAAGGAAACAGTTTTGTACGACAGTTTTTTCCGAATTTGTAAATAGAATTTCAGAATGCAGATGTAGCGCTGAATCTTATTTGGAAGAAGGGTATCTTGATGAAAGGGCCGGGGATATGTCATGGTGCTGCTGGCAGTGGTTATGCTTTCCTACTGTTTTACCGACTTACCAAGAAACAGGTTTGTTTTTTTTTTTGGTAGGAAATATGACTCTATCTGTGAGAGAATTCACAAGTTTCGAGTAACTACATATTTTTATTGTCACAACGGCCATTTTTAAAATTATATTGATTTCATGTGTTTTTGGATTGAGGATTACTACAACATACATTTGTGGTGTGTTATCTTTTCGTTCTGTTTTGTAAATTTGAAAACACTGTTGTTTTTATGAACTCATTTCCTCGATTCCAGTAGAAATTGTTGAAGCAACTGAACGAAAAAAGAACTGTACTAGTAGATGATCTGAATGCAGAATTCGTTGCAGCATATTAATTTTCTTTTTTCAGCGGTACTTGGATTGCGCTTGCTGCATTGCGAAAGCTTTTTGTAGCGAAGAGTTCGAACGAAGGGCTCGGACACCCGACCGACCGTATAGCTTATTCGAGGGGATAAGTGGAGCTTTATGTTTTATATGCGATTTGCTGGAACCAGATAAAGCGCAATTTCCTCTTGTGCCTATACCTTTTTCCTGACTGCCTTTAATGTGTCATTATGCTTTGTCATTTACTTTTAAAAAAATATTTGAGACTGAAAAAAGTATTACCTAATATTATTGAAAAGTATTTGTATCAGTTGTTTGTTAAAAATAAATTTTGCGTTGTGAAGTTTTTTATCATTATGTTTTATGATATGATAATATCGCAGAACTTTTCTATTTTTTAATAAGGTGATTTTTATGGTAGATATCTAGAATTTGATAACATGCAATCAAAATGAATTCAAGGGTGGAATAAAGGAGGTGTTTTGAATAAAGTTCAGTCAAAAATTTGCATAGTGATATGTTGCAGTGGGTATGCAAGATGTGCTTTTCACTGTGTTTTTGCAGTTTCGGGAAGTGAAGAAGACCATGTTTCCTGTTGTGCATAGGCGATATTTTGACAATCCGTATTTGACGAATAGTGAAACTGAGTCGGATAAGGTATTCACATTGTTCTTCTAATGGTTTAAGGTCCATTAAATATCTAAATTTGTGATATGTTACCTTTTCGTTTTATTTTGCAAATTTGAAAACGCTGCTGTTTTTATGAATGCGAGTTGCCAGTATGCTGGCTTGTAGTTTCATGATGTCGAAGTAATTATTTAGCTGATGTTTACCACTAAGTTTAATACTTCAGTGCATTTTGTTCCATAACTCTTCTCAAAATTCATGAACTGATGCTTGAAGGTAACCAAACAAATTTTGAAACAAGAAGCTGCAAATCTCGCAGAAGAAATCATGAGACGGCGACATAATCCGGATGATTACGATGGAGGGGCCTATGTCGGAGTCGCAGGTGACGGGTATAGCGTGCTGTATGCCTCGCGACTTTTGCCAGAGAAGGCAGAACAGTATGCAAATTTCTGCAGTAGAGTAGTAGAGGAGCAGTTAAAGCAAATCAAGGTTTTGTTTTTATTTCCAACGCTAATGGAGAAGCCTAATGATAGTAATTGCTTTTCTGATTATTTATTTAATGTACCGTTTAGCAATTAATAAGCTTCAACGCTAGCAAGGGTTAGCCTGAAAAGTGCCGGAGATCACTTTTAATTAACTAACATTTATATGGTTGGTAAGATTGCCATCTTAAGATACCATCTTCGTTAATTAGTTTTTTATGTGGTGGTACAATGAATAAAGTATTTCGTACTCTTTCATACATGAAAAGTTGTTTGCCAGATTGATTGATTATATTAAGATTTTTATAGCAGAGTGGACATCGAAAAGAAGAAGGGCAATATTTGCTTGGTACACTTGGGATATATGTCATCAAAGTCATATTGGATTACGAAATGAAGAAGTTTGTGAATCCAACTGTCATCGATAAAGTAGTATCTTTGATTGATGTGATATGTGCGAAGGATTATTTACCGAATGGTGCAGATGAAATGCTTGTTGGTAGAGCCGGCTTTCTAGCAGCAATTTTAACTTTAAGGTTGATATGTTCAACATTTTATTATTGAATATAATTCGAACAAAGAGTCGAAAACGTTATATTCAAATAAGAAATTTCGGGTTATCGTTTAATTTATGTAACATCTCTGCTCATATTTATATTAGTTTTAGGACTTGAATTTTTTTCTTTTGCAGAATGCGCTTGCACCATGACATCATATCTAATTCACATGTTAAAAAAGTTATTGATTGCATAGTCGATTCTGGCCGTTGTTACGCTAAACAGCACAAATTTCGAGCACCATTAATGTATCGGTATCATAATGTTGAATACCTCGGTGCTGCTCATGGTTTGATGGGTATTCTACAAATGCTCCTTAGGTAAAAAAGAGACCTTTATTTTATTAATATACATTATTTCTGAAATTTTATTGTATGTATCCAATTGTTTTTTACAACATTTTCTTACAGTTAATTAGTTTTTATGAAATAATTTTTGAAAATATATTCAGAATAATAATTGCAGTTTTTCTGATCTTTTGGACGATACAGCATTAAGAGATGTTGAAAGTACATTGGATTGGCTTCTGGAAATACAGGCAGAAAATGGTAATTTTGCTCCAAGTGTTGACGAGATCGGCATAAATCGTGGATCCAACGAACTTCTGCATTGGTGTCATGGCGCAACTGGAGCTGTTCATTTAATGATTGTTGCTTATTTATGTACTAAAAAAGTGAAGTTTTTAAAGGTAGTTATTCTTCTTTGTGTTTATTTGTCTTTTTTTTGTAGATGATCTGTCCGTAATACAGTACAAATGATTATTTTATTGTATCCGTAACGTATAATCTTTCCTGCAGGCATAATTTTTTTATAAATTGTCATTTTCAGTTTTTATTCCTTCGTATTTATGAACTGTTCTCTAATTTCTAATTTGGCTAGTAGATAGCTCCATGAATTTAGCAGCGCATATTCAGTTGAAACGCGTCCGCATATATGCGCTTAAAAGAACCAATTTTTATTAAATAAGGTTCTCTTGTTTCTTCAATTGCCGGTATTCTCAGATAGAGTTAGTCAAACGCAATTTTCTTTTTATTGGAAAAGTGTATCAGAGCGCGGCGATGAAGAAAGCGGAAGATCTTAACATAAATTTTTGTTCGCATTCAAGCTTTAGTATTGTCAGCAGCAGGAAATTGTAAAAACACGTTTAAAATGGAAATTGGTCTGCAAATAAATAAGAATCTTTTAGTTTCCTTAATCGTATAGAATGTTTGTAGTATGTTTCTCTTATGAAACCAAGGATGTTTCGCATTAAGGATGTTTCAGGCAGCTGAAAAAGCGCTTGATCTTATTTGGAAACGGGGTGTTCTACGTAAAGGGCCAGGAATTTGTCATGGTGTTGCAGGTGGTGGTTATGCGTTTCTTCTATATTATCGTCTAACCCAAAAAGCTGTAAGCTTTTAACTGCATTTTGATTAAATAAAGTCTCTGCATTAAGGAGGACAGTACATGGCGTCGTAAATACTTCGATATGAGATTTTTTTTTTGGAAAAACTGCTTTTTCTTATGCTCTAATCGTGTAATATAGTTTCGTCTTGTCAAAGTGTGTTTTTCCAGAAGTACCTCAAATATGCGCAATGTTTTGCTCGAATCGCATACGACCAGAATTTCAGAAAGCATGCTCGAATACCAGATAGTCCATATAGTTTATTTGAAGGCATTGGTGGTTTGCTATGCTTTCTTGTCGATGTTTCAGATCCATCAATGGCGCAGTTCCCCTTAATTCCAATCATATTCAAATAAATATTCCTCCCTTACTGTTCATCTTTTATTCGTATACTTGATGAGCTGTGCAAGTGAATTAATAAAATTTTGTCAAGATACGCAATTTATTATAATTTTATTTGTATGGTCATTTTCAAACTGATAAATATAGCAAAAAACTGATAAATATATAAGAAGAGCAGTTTTTGTTTCGATTTGCTACTTCATACTAGGAATTAAATGGATGGTAACGCAAAATAAAAAGTAAATTATAGGATTGTGAGGTAGCGAAGAGCACAAAAATTTTAACTTTTTTCAGAAACGTTTGTGGCTTCCTAACTATTTATCATTCATATATCATCCACAAAGTATAAAATACTGCGCTGCATTTGAATCATTCGATGTTTCATTTATTTCCACCACTTCGATGTTTCAATAATCATGGTGAAAGTTTTGTGGATCAGGAAAGATTGCATATTACATTGTCATTATTAATCATCATCATCCTTGTGAACGAAAACGGCAGTAGGGTACCAATTTTTTTTTATTGTTGTCCTCAAGAGAGAAGCATGTCGTAACACTGTCTTTTATAACTTTCAGGCACTTTTGATGAAGATTATGAAAGGGCGGCAAGAGTAGCAATAGATAGACAAAATGCGATAATGGGACTAATAGTGGTATGCAAATCGCACAGCATGTTGTCTCCTCTTTGCATTGCCATAGAAGCCGGTGTTCCTATGTCTTCATGTTGTCAATTTGTCTACATTGACACTGTTTTATCCTCATGGACTTTCACATAATCTAATGACTTCTCCTAAAATGAGCTAATCCGAAATCAAAACTACCTTTTCTTCTCTTAGCATCTTTAATTCCTTTTCCGTTATAATATATTAAAAATTAGAGATTTTCTAACAGAACATATCTGATAGAACTATTGATAACTTCAGTTATATTAGTTATCAGGATTAATCTCACTTTTAATTCAGGACAAATATTTGAAATATCAAACTTTTATTTTGATAAATTTATTGCTACGAGTAGATAAAAAAGTGAGTTACTTTTCTTTGTTTATGGGTGCAAAAAAAAACTGTACTGAAAAAATCATGGAATCTCCAAGCAAGTTGTAATCTTCTCAACATAATTCACATGCCATATCTCTTTCAAGATACTTGAAAAAGTCTTTAGGGTATTTGAAACATTACAAATACTCCAATTTATCGCAGATAGATAAATTCAAATACTGTTACCAATTAGTTATTACAAATCATATACTGATATCTTATCTGACGAAACTATCAGTCTGCTAGTCGTAATATTGATACATATTGTTTGGTTGTTCATCAGAATCTTTCATTGGAAACTATCTCAAAGCTGTAATATATGCAATTTGCAAATCAGCAAAATTTCGAGCATCTTTAAGCTGAATGAAGGTTGCTTATTAGTGTGTTGCTGGAGAACTGAGCTGAAAATGATAGTGATGATAGTAATAATAATGATAGTGGTAATGAGATTGGAGCCAGAATACATTCTCCCACTGACGTATCTGTCATTCACAGTTGTCAGTCAAATATGATGTAGCAGTTGACTTCCCTTTTTCTCTCTTTTTTCACATGTATTCCCTTTCTTTTTTCAACTATTTTTATTTCAGCAATATATTTTATCATGAATGTAAACATTCTTTTTCTTTTTCAATATTTTCAAAAGTTTGTACATCATTATTTGCTAGTTCAGTGAACAGACATTATTCATCTCGCCAAATTTGCGTATCTACTGAACTTATGAAATATAAAGTCTGTTACGAAATAGTTTGATTTAATTTCATTTTATTTCAAATAAATAAAAAATTAATGCTTAAAATTAATTCTTGACATTTTCTTGAAAAGAATTTTTCTTGCATAGCTTTACGGGACGATCTTTGTTTGTGGCTAATTCGTTTAAAAAGACAAACAAAGAAGCAAGAGACTTATTCAACTTAATGATCTGTTTCAACAAACTTATGTGTGCGGTGACTTTATAGTAGTCTTTATTTTCATAACATCTAAACAGAATTTATTACTTTCAATATCTATAAGGGACATATATGCTTATTGAATTGATCCAATAAAAATAATTTGGTGATGAAAAGTGATCATAAAATACTAATCACTGTCCCTTTGAATCGGACTTAAAATTTAAATGAGCTATGAAATCTCAAAAAAAACGATTATTTCAACAAAGTGTTTTATTTGGAAATTAGGCACTGCAACATAATTTTATATAAAATGTGGTATTAGAAACACCGCTTGGTTACAACGCTCAGTTAAAGCTTGCTCAGAAAACGAAATTAAATAATGGAGTTACCAAAAAGTATATAGAATTCTTTCCATGACTGCCTTCTTACTTTCCCTTTTCCACTATGTTATAATTATATGATGCAACTGTCCGATCAAATCGATCGAAAAAAGTGAAATACAAGCAAGGTAAGTCAGCAGAATGATACAGAATTTGTTTAGCATTCAAGATTATTATCAAATTTGTACGTGTTGATAACTTTTGGAATTCTCATTTCTTTTTTATTTCACCCCATATTAGAAACAACAATTGTTTTTTATTCTTGTGCAATCCATATCTCCAAAATAACGCCCATTCTTTAATTTCAAAATTTATTTGACTCAATTTGTAACTAGGATTTCTTCAGTTTGATCAGTGAACGATAAAAAAAGCCGTAAAATGATTTTCTATATAATTTGATTTGTCATATTATGCTGCAAAAGTGAAAATGATGGAAATTTTAGCTTTATTATGTTTATTTTTTGTGAAACATATTTTTCAATATTCTCCATTAAACAAATTTTAAAATTTCGACAATTTGGTGTTGAAATGAACAACCAAAAATCTGATGATATTTTAGAGTTACCCAGTTTTAAAAAATGAGAATGTGTAAATTAATCGTTTGAAAAAATTGAAGCATCTCTCAAAGATAGCGGAAGTGTATTTAGCGAATATTGCAACAAAAATGAACAGCAGGAGATGAATGACAACAACACTTCAAAGAATATGCCGACGAAACCGTAATGTATTTCTTCTGCTATACAGTGGGCCTGTTTGTTGTTTCGCTCTAATCAGTTTCAAATTAAAATAGCTACAACAGAAGAGAAAATTGGTGGAAGCAAAAAATAACAACGACCGTAACCATCTCTTGTAAGTAGTGTACATCAGTTTAATTAGCACATTGCAATTATGAATAGCGTAAATTAAACGTTTGGATTGTAAAATGATTAAGATGTTGTTCTGTTCATATGATTTACAATCAGCCGAGTGCATCCTTAATTTATTACCACTTATTATTATTACAGTTGTCTTATTCTCAATTCATTTTACGAGATTAATATAACATAAAGACATGTCAGGATTAAAAAAAATTTTCCTTTATGGCAAGATTGAAAATATTCTAACAGATTTGCAGTATAGCTGCTCCTTCACTAACAAAAAAAAATTACCTTTTGATATTCTTTGAAAATACTTCCAAATTAAACAAATTTAAGAGGAGCCTCATCTTTAAAAAAAAAAAAACAACTTCAGTGCGGGCTAAAAATGCACATCCAAAGTTCGTGCAGTAATATGAATGTTTTGTATCATTAATTCCATCAATTATAAGCATACTTTAAAGCGTGCTTCCAAAACTTAGAAGCTTAAGAGTATTCAAGTGTCCCATCAGTTATCAACTTCATCTTTAATCTACTTGTTTACTCATACCTGTACAGCTTATCTTACCGCTACACACATGAGCATTATCATTTGTGTCAACAATATACAGTAGCTACTGGAAAAACAGTGTTGGATGGGAAAAAAAAGAAAAAAGAAAGAACCATCTGGTGAGATTGGCATAACAACTACAGTTTACCCATGCTGGATCGGGAGAATCATAGGATAAACATGGATAATCAGAAGGGCGAGGCGCTGCTTGACAACGACATGACACTTGCAGCCCAACAATCAGATTAACCTCCCTTTTGGAACTCTTTTATAATATACATTGAATTACATGCTACTTTATTTACAACTGAGTGCCTTATTGTCGAATTTCTTTCTGAAATTAACAATTAGAAATCTAGTTTGGATAGGATATAAAGTCAATAGAGAAATATAAATAAAATAAATAAAGTAGAAGCTGGTAATAGAAAAGTATTATCTCTAAAAAAAATCTTTCCATAATTTCAAGCATTTTTCAACTTAAATGTCAGCGCTAGATATATTTGTTCTGTTAATTTTCAAATTAAAAGATTTAATTTTTAAGACAACGTTCTCTTAAAACGTAAGTATATTGTAAAAATGTTTGCTGTTATAAGTTAGAAATAAGAATAAATAATTATAGATAAAACTGAAAATATAGTATGCAAAATAAGATATATTATATCATTGAATGAATACATTATTCTCTCTAACCAATCCCTTTTATCGTGAAACAAATGGTGTCAACAAATACGGTGCGTTGGCTGTTCAATTTATTTACATTATGATATATTGCAAGTGACTGTTTAAGAGAAATAGGAAAGACGATAGAAATAAATAGGAATGAAACACTGTAAAATGAAATATTTAAAATAAAAAGATTAAAGAGAAGAAAATGAAATCTCTAAACAAAAACAAATGACCCTGCAATATAGTGTTGAATTGAATTATTACTGGAAGACACTTATCATTTCCCTCTTTAATGGATTAGTGCTAGCGAAGAGCGGCAGATGCCTATAACAAACTATTAAAAAATATATACATATATAGAAAACACGTTGATATATACAAACAGACAGATGGAAATCCTATAATGAATTATCAAAGGGAATCAGAAACAATATATGTAATAACAGCAGAAGACAAGAGCAGGAAGTCATTAAACAAATCCTCTCAAAACCCACATGAATAGTCATTTAATTGCCTGTAATCCTAAAATATTACAGATTTTAGATCCGGTACAAGTTAAGTCACTCCAGAACGGCATTAAGTGCACTCTTATAGGATTGTGCTTAGTATTATTACGTTCCAAATTACTCATTATTTTCACATTTTCGTAAATTTTGTTCAGAAAAAAATTTTGTAGGGATCTCTAAATCAATCAATCATCTGTTTCTGCAATTTATGTTGTAAAATTATACCCAGTGAAATACATATAAATTTATGTTTACAGTAGTCCGAATGACAAGTCTTCAAAACTCTTTTCCACAAATTATTTGCCAGAGAATAGAAGATGAAAAGACCATACATTATTGGTGGTATCTGTTTGCCAAATGTTCTATCACATTTTATTGATGGAAGTAATTTCAATTAGATCTAATTGGTTTGGAAATTTTATGAAATGGGATCCATACTAGTCATGACAGCAGAATGAGAAAATTAGCATGAAAAATGTCTATCAGGCAACGTGAAAGGGAAAAAATAGAGTGATGGATATTGGAGTGTAAAAGGTATCAACCACCTATAAGATGAAAAAAATTGTAAAGTGAAGCTTTTCAGCAATAACAGACAATATTTCATTTTTCTCATCAATTTGATTTAAAGTCTTCCCTTTTTAAGAACAAAGTGTAATCATCGTTAGGAACTTTGAGAACGGTTTTAAATTTTTGATTAAGCTCATGATTCTTATGGACCAATATGGCACTTATTTTTCTTGTTACTAATAATGTTTTGGGAAAGTTAAATCAAAAACTGAAATCAGGTATACTTAATTTTGAAAGAACAAATAATAAATATACACTGTCATAGTATCAATCAAAATCTTTGATATGGATGAGAATCAATATGAAATACACAGCAGCAATCCTTG